GCGGAGAGGTGGGGGGGGGGGGGGGGTGGCGCACGTGGCAGGCTGCCCCTTTTCCACGGGCAAAATGGGCAGGAAATTGTAAATTGTCCTTAGGCATCGTGTGGGGTGGGGAGAGGCAGTGGGAAGCAGCTGGGATGAGCCAGCAGTTTCACAAACCATGAAGGAACAACTTTCCCTCATGGCTGAGTAATGAAACAGAGTATTTCTAGCTCTGTGTTCTGTGTGAATGGTGTGAGTAAGACTGGTTTGTCAGTAATACTGTGAAAATGAGAAATGCTAGAGGCAGTGCTGACATTTGAAAAAAACAGTCAAATCCCCAAACATGAGCCCCATCCCCAAAATAAATTCTTCTATTCCCACAGAAATCCAAGTCAAAATTTATTTTGCAAGAATTGGTGTTTACATTTTGCAATAGTTTTGAAAAAATCCTCCTGTTTTGTTCAAGCTTAGGACACAAACAACTTGCAGGAAATTACCGTTTCCAGTCAGAAATTCTGTTTTTCACCAATTTCTTGGCTCTGCTTCTGCTGGGAAATCCCTGCCTGTAGTAACTTAGTGGTACCCAACCCTCACCTCCAGTGGGAAGATGGGGCTGCTGGATACAAGATACTGCTTGTGCAGGGCCAGGCACCATTGCTCCTGGAGCTGGAGCAAGCCCACCACCACCCTCTGAACCCAGGTCAGCTGTTGTGGGACTCATGGGATGGTGGGAGATTGTTTTTAATTGTTACACAGAAAAATGCATGAAATCTAATTTGTCTCCCATTATAGTCTTTTGTTCCTTGCCCCAGCATCTCCCTAAAAACATTGCCATGATATCCTACTTTGCCATCTAATGTAGCAACAAATCTCCCGTGAAGCTTTACATGCTGGGTAAAGTAGGATATTAAGACCTCCTTGTAGTGTGTTTCATTCCTCCTTAGAGTAAATAAATCCTCCAATGATGTTCTCTGAGAACTTTCCAAGGAGCACATTAAAGTTTGATTTATATCACTATCTTCCACTGAAAGATATTCTCAGGGTCTGCTTTCACAGTGGATTTATTTTAAAAAATGGTGTAAAACCTGATGAAGACACAAAAAAGTTGGCAGAGAAGCCAGGGACCTGCAGACCAGGCTGAAAACAGACAAGAGGTAGGGATGTTGGACTGACACTGCCAGGAGATGGGCTCCAAATGTGAAAAAAAAAAAAGTGGATAAACTCACATCTAGCAATGGGAAAAAGATTACCTTAAATGTTACAAAAATTGACTTAATTTGAACTAATGAAACTGAACAGCCAAATCACTTGTGTCATGTGAATGACACCCTTGTACAGAGCTGGGTTTTTAGGAAGCATGTCTTAGGATAGAATTCATCCATAATATATGTTGATTTATCAACATATGGCAGCACCTCATGATAGCTTAATAAAAGCCAGATGGAATGCAAACCCACATTTTTGTCTAGCTGATAGATGCCCAAAATACATCTGATTTTAACTCTCTGTTTTTATGCTTCTGTGTTTGTTTTTGTCTTGATTTTTCATTAATCTTTAATATACCTGAAAGGAATGTTTAAAGCAGTAGGGGTGATTTGTGTCTGTTACAGTTAAGGAATACAGATTTTCCTGACAGCATGCTGTGGTCTGTCATCCTGTGTTAGTGTATCTGGTAACTGCAGTGTTTGCAAGGATAGTTGTCCTGACAGTGGGTAAATACAATGAGTTAAAAGTAAGCAAATACAGGACTTGAAAGGTCATCCCAGGACAGCAGTTTTACTTCAAACATCTTGAAAAAGAGAGTCAAAGATGTGACATTCCTTGTGCTATTTCAGTGATCCTCAAGTGTTTTCTCTGAGCATCAGCAAAGGCTGGTTTTGGGATGTGGGCAGAAGTAGAGCTTGTGCACATTGGTTGAGAACAACACATTAAACAACCAGGGCTGGACCCAGACCAGCAGTGCCTCCCTCTGCATCAAGAGCTGCAGTTGCCATCCCATCACATTTAATGACTTGTTTGTTTTCTTAACATTAACACTCTTTTGTCCCCTGCTTTGCTTTTAATTTAGTTGCTCCCCCACAAGATCTTCAGATCACTGATCCTGGACTTCTAGGTTCTCTCGATGTAGAGTGGAAACCTCCACCCAACATACAAACCTTCAGTGAATGCACAGTGAAATACAAGTTTGAATACAGAAACACTGGGGACAGAGACTGGAAGGTAAGACAAAACATGGTTTAATCCTCTTAAATCCAGGCTATTGTTGTGCATGGATTGACGTTTGCATGTCAAGGAGCAGTGATGCTAAAGCAATTTCAGCTTTCCATGAAAAAGCCCTGCTGTTCCAGAGGTTCCAGTCTTTTGCCAGATGGGAATGTGTTTTGAAATGTAACAGCGGCAGCCCTCAGAGAAGGAGCTATTTCTGTCAGAGGGTGTGGTGCTTGCTGCCAAAAATAATCCAGCAATATCTAGTATAATTCCTCATTGCAAAAGGCACTACAGTTTTTAGAAAGTATGTTCAGGGCTTTAACTGAAACTCAGTGTCAACAGACCCTTAGGGATGCAAAGTGGTCAATAAATAAAATATTAAATTCCATTAATTGTCCTAATGATCTGACATTCCCTTTATCCAGAAGGGTGTTTACTCTTGTCTTTTAGATATGGTTGGCTCTCATTCAGCTCTATGATAAAGTTATCAGTCTTGTCTCATTGATGTGTGGCAGGGCAATAGTAACACAAGTAACACAAGATGTTGTAAGAATGTATTTTTGGGAGTGCTTGAAGAGCAAGCCAAGGGGGAAGTAAGTCTGAGAAAGAAAAAAACAAAACAAAAACACCAACCAAAACAACAACAACAAAAAGAGCTTCAGAGGGGGTGCTCAGAAAGTCCCACAAAGGGCTATGCCCAGTGACACTGTGCTGCCTGGCTGCTGCTCCTGCTGGCAGGGTGTGCTTGTGTTTCCCATGGAAGTCACCAGTTACAAAACTTTTCATTCCTTCTGATTCTGATTATCTCATGTCCTGAGTAAGTGCCTTTTATCTGGATTTATGGTGGTAGCCTCATCAGACCCTCCCTGGTGTTCTGGCTAATGGGGAGTCCTTGAACCATAGTCTGTCTTGTCATTGCTGATGTCCTGTGGGTTGAGGGACTCAAAGCCAACAAGGCTGGGCAGAGCAGGTGGTACTGAAGAAGAAGGTGGTGCTGGAGAAGCACAACAGAAACGATAGAATCATAGAATCCCAGGTTGGAAGGGACCTGAAGGATCATCTTGTCCAACCTTTCTTGGCAAAAGCATGGTCTAGACAAGATGCATCACTCTGTCCAGCTGTGTCTTACCGTGTCTAATGCTGAGGAATCCACCACTTCCCTGGTAAGATTATTCCAGAGGTTGATGATTCTCATTGTAAAAATTTTTCCTCTTGTGTCCACTACTCCTTTTCTTTTCCATGTGACTCCTTGTAGAACAGGAGCCAAACATTACAGCACACAATGACCCTGCTCACAGCTACAACAGGAGCAACAGTTGCTAATTCTGCAGCCCACTTAGTGACAAAAGAGGTGCTTACCTACTCTGTCTTTCAACCAGGTTATTTTTACTAGGAAGCTAAAATTCAGAGTTGGATTTGACCTCAGCAGGACTGCTGAAGTGAAGGTACAGACATTGCTGGAAGGACAGTGTACTGACAACGTGGAGGTGCAGAGTGACTGGGTTTATGCTACCTTTCAGATCCCACTGCAAGGTTAGGAGCAGCCTCTGGTACCTGGGGTGGTTCTGCACTTTGCATGAGTCTGTTGCATGACCCACTGCTGGCCTGAGGGACACTGGATGGATAAGCCACTCCTGGGCTTGTTGAGCTGTAAGACACAGAGCATCTCTGCTTCCACTGACTGTGGTTGGACACTTGGGTCTCACTTCCCTCTGCCCATACCACATCTCTACTGGGTTACTCTGCATGAGCTCCACTGCTGAATGAAAAGGTCAGTTATGCATCTTTCTGCTCTAAGTGCAGTGAAATGGCCTTTATGGGAAACTGAGCACTTGGCAGCAAAAATATCTAATAAAGGTGACTGGCCTTTTCTTTTTTGTCTTTCAACTGCAGCACACAGCTGTTCAAAGATGTAAAGTGATAATTCTTTGGAATGGTACATTGCTGAGTCGTGGTTGTTTCTTTCTCATTTGACAGGGAAGCTGGAATCAGAGGTTCAGAATTTCCACTGCATCTATCATGACTGGGAATACCTCAAGTGCACTTGGCAACCAGGTCTTCTCGCTCCTCGTGGTGTACATTATGGGCTGTATTATTGGTATGTATTAGCAAAAGAGAAAATAGCCAGGCTGCAAGTGAGCCTCTCAGGATGCTGAAATGCCATGGCCAATCCAATGTGCTTTTATGGCACAATCCACCCAGAATGAGCACAAATAATGCTCTAAGCAACAGGTGCCTTCTGGCAAGGATTTACCAAATCCCTGCTTCCTTCCTTAAAACCAGGTTTGTGCTGATCTTCTACAGGGAATACCTTCTCCCTCCCTCCTTTCCCTTTCATTCACCCCTGGGGTGTGCTTTCTGCATGTTGCCCATCACAAAGCCTTGTGCTTTCCCTGTGCTAAATGAACCTGGATCATTCTGGGTGTGCATTTCCCTTGATCACAGTGCATGTATCTCTCTAGGGTGGGATTCAGAAGGAGATCACCAGGCTCAGTGGAACCTATACAAAGAGCAGGACTTCTTAGCAACTAACTTACTCTTCAAATATATTTTCATAGTCTTAGCACATCTCTCAGCAAACATGCTGACAGAAAGGTAGTAGTAACATATGTTTCTGTTTTTTCTTTTGTACTGCTGCCTAATGATCCTATTCTGCAAGAGAAACAAAGCTAGACCTAGTGGTTTTGGACAAAGTAAATGTTGTATTTGTGCTTTAATTCCTATGATACTCTGGTAAGGATGACTAGTTAAGGGAATCATTTGGGTTCATGTCTTTGGGCTACATGCAGAAAACCATGGCTGCTTTTTAAAAAATAGTTTCCATGTAGCTCTTGGAAATAGTCTTCAAAGCAGAAACACTGATTACAAACCATTTTGCTAACTACAGAGGTCTGCTTGAAGGAACCCATGAAAATTCATGAGTTGTTTCTGGCAAAAAAATAAAAGCAAAAAAAGCCCACAAAAACCTCAACAAGCTCAACCTTATTTATCTGCCTGTGACAAAACCAGGCGTTTGGATCTGGGTCCCATTGTATAATGAGATTGAGTGGGAAGACAATTAACGGCATCCTTTGATCCCCATGAGTTAGTTTTTATGGCACTACCACAGGAAGTTTTTTTTCCCCCAAAACATCATGTGTTGTGCAGGGAGACATTAGAGCACAGAGGCTGGATTCAGCCCTGCCTCAAGGGCACTAACCCAGCAGTGGTCTTATAGAACACAGGAAACATGACTTAGTCTTTCCAGGATGGAGTCCACAGCTAAGCTCTGGGGAGTGGCCCCCAAAGACAAGAGGCAGCCTGAGAGGACAGGGTTGTGCCTGCACACCAGCTGATAACCAGAAACTTTCTTCCTCACTCCCTCTCCTGGGTTTCCATTACGTGACCATCTGGATGTGTGGGACCTGCCTGCAATCAGCTGCAGCAGCTCGTTAACACTCATTACATTTGTGGCACATGTCCCCTGCCACAAACTGCTGCATTTTGGCTGGAGAGGGGACCTTTTTGCAACTCCAGAGTGGGTTGCTCATGCTGTAAATGCCCCATGGGAGGATGGGTACCCCTGTGAGTAGGGGCCAGATCCTGCCCCAGCTCCACTCACACAGTGGCACTTTGTGGAGCCTCTTGTGCTCCAGGAATGGGCTTGGGGAGAGGCTGTGGCAGCCTCTACCAACAAACTTGGGAAGCCATCTGTGCATGTCCATTTGTGTCTTTCTCCTCCCTGCAAGGAGGAGAGTTAGGTCCAATTTTTAAAAAGGCCTTACCCAAGCAGTAACTACCATTGCTTTGTTGTTTGTTTGTTTGTTTGTTTGGGGTTTTTTATTTCTGTTTTCCTACTCCCCTGCCAGGTATGAGGGGCTGGACCACGCAGCCCAGTGTGATGACTATATTCAGGACCACGGGATAAACATTGGCTGCATGTTGCAAAATCTGAGCCAGGCAGAATATAAGGACCTGAGCATCTGTGTCAACGGGTCAGCAGCAGCCACCGTGTTACGGCCGCTCTATGTCACCCTGCGCCTTCACAACCTAGGTAAGCCTGGAAGGAAAGCAGCAGGGGCTCTGGGGACCACCACACACCCCAGGCTCATGTTTTGCACAACAGGGGGCTCAAACAGATGCAAACTCCTGTAGATGTAATGTGCCTGGGTGGATTTTCCCCCTCTGGAGAAAGGGCTGTGCCGTGTGCCGCACACGACTGAGTGGCGAGCAGCACCACTCAGCACCCATCCTGGAGGGTCAGTGGGTGCCTCCAAGTGCTGCATTCAGCAACGGGACAATTTGAGATTGAATGGTCTGCTGGGCAGATGGCAGAGCACCTATGTGTGTTTTTTTTTTGTCCCTAGCAGCACCACTACAGCAGTTGCTTCATTTACCACTCCTGAAACTGAAAGGGCAGCTCCAGTCCTGCAAGCACAGGAGAGATCTTTGGGCTTTGCTGTTTTAACCAAGACAAGGGACAGGGAGAACTGAGTGCAAGGTGTGATGGGGTCTGGTTGATTTCAAGTCCATCAGAGCCAGGGAAAGGAAGCCAAGCACAGCATGATGACCCAAAAGATGTACTCTTTATTATCAGCACTTACCCATTTACCTACATGTAAATGTCAGGGGGATAAATAGCTAGTCCTCCAGTTAAGCCACTAATAAGCAGGATTTCTGGATGCAATTAGTGCTGCCATGTGCTTCATGTGTGCCTTTGGGCTTCTGAGATAAACTGCACTGCAGCCCAGAGCAAGGACCTAGCCCAGCTCATGTGCCAAGCTAAAACAAACAACCCAGGCTCCAGCCTCAGTGACATCCTGCTCCTGCAGCATCCTAGCTGACAGCAAGAAATCCCAGCAACAGGAAAAGGGGCAGAGGTTGATAGTTATTAACTGTAGTCTTTCCCACCAGGAGCTGTTTGATTGCACCTCTTGACCTTCTCTCCTTTTTATTCTCCCCACCAGCAAAACCCTCACCCCCGAAGCAGCTGGTGGTTTCCATGTCTGCAGCAGAGGAGCTCCAGGTGGCTTGGAGCCCACCAGGTGGTGAAACACCTCCCCAGTGCCTGGAGTACGAGGTTCAGCTGGCAGAAGATCATGGGGAGGCCGAGGCTGCCTGGGTGGTAGGGACAAGTCAGGGTGCTGCAGGGAGGGAAGGGGCTGGGGAGCCCTGTCTGAGGGGTGGCAGCAGGGGGGGGGCATGCTGGAAAATGGGGGTTTGCACTGAGTTGCAGAGGGTGTGTCAACTTCTCTGTGCATGACTGTGCAGAGACCTTAACTGGTGGCAACACTGAGCAGCTGCTTCATGGCACATGCTCCTGCTTAACACCAGGAACTCCAGCCACAGCATTTGCTTCAGCAGCAACAGAGCCCAGGGAGAGTCTCTGAGCAATTACTTCCTCAGGCCTCCTGCCTGCTAACTCAGAAAGCTGTCACCACAGACATTTAATGGTGGTTGTCATTTGTTCTCCAGAATATGGTGGCATAACTTGGTCTGATGAAACTCTAATTCTAATCTCTCCAAAGAAGTGGTGGTTTTCCTTGTGCATTTTACAGGTGTGATTTTGATAGCAAAAATGACAAGGACTAATTAATCATAGGGGACACCTGGAAGACATTTAATTGCCATATTCTACACATGAGTCTCCTTAGCTAATTTAATGAAAGATTCTATAAATTAACAGGCAGCAATGGCAACACACAGGGTGCTGTTCACCCAGAATATTTTCAGTAGAATCATTTGCCATAATGGTCTTATTGGCTTTATCTGGCCCCAAACTATTATGAAATCATTTAAAACTGCCAAGACAAAATCCAAGGTTCTGCAGAGCCTGGAGGACATGTTCAGAAACATCAAGCAATGCCAGAGGGCAACTGGTGGTGACAAGTAATTCCTTGACATTTGTTCTCTTTGTTTTGTTTCTCAGTCTGTGCCAACCCAACTGGAGACTTCTCTAACAATTTCCAGGGAAAACCAAAGCCAGGTTTCATGTGTTCGAGTCAGAGGGAGAACAAACATTGTCTGTGCTGACCAGGGCTTTTGGAGTGAATGGACACAGGAATGTTTCTCTGGTATGGGACCCAAAGTAGCCAATGTTTCTTTAACATCCTTTACAAAGCCTGGTTGGGAGCAACCACTGATGGCTGCCATGGGCAGCTGCACATGTCCAGTGCTGGAGGTGGGATCCTGGTTTAGTTACACCATCAACTTGCTCCAGCACAGCCATTTCTGCAGCTTTGCATCTCCCCCCACATTTAGCAGCCAAGCCCCAAAATATTAATGCTTCTACTTCAGCACCATCCGCTGTGCATTAGGACAGCTCGGGTGGAAGAGTGAGTGCTTGGTGAGAGAGGGCAGGTGCTACATGGAGTCTCTGCAGGGCATCCTCCTGGCTCCTCCTCCTGCATCAGCTCCTTTGCACCCCATAGTCTCTACAGGCCTGTCCCCTGGCTCTGCTGCAAGATGCAGAAGGGCAGGGAAGAGGCACAGGGCAGTGGCTACATGTGTATGCAGGATATGTTACCCTGAAGGACTGTGTTACCTTAAACACTAACATATACCTGGCACAGATCTGTGATAAATAAATACATGCGGGGTAACAAACCTGAAAGCACTGAGTTTGCATCTGATCCCTTTGTAAGAGGTATCATGACCTGTTCTGGAAGCTTCTTTGCTTATTTGCTGTTGTTTATCTTTGCAGTGTCCAGAAAAGAGGACCAGCAGCTACTTATCCTCATTCCAGTCATCCTGAGTTTGTCAAGTAGCCTCTTAATATTTATGTTGATTGGCCAGTGCAAGAAAAGGTAAGTACCAAGGCAGCCTGTCTGTGCAATGTGCTTTCATGGGGGTATCTCAGACTGCAACTACAGATGCAACAACATTAAATACCAAAAGCCAAACATTAATAGATGCTCCAAGATTGGGCACCAAACAGCAGTTTGTTTTCAGGAAACAACCTTGTAAGTGTGTCTGTTTCTGTTATGAAATGCCTCACTACAACCCATAAACTCACAGCAGAGACCCAAATCCTGCTCCTATGAGCCCAGGCAACTTCTGCTAAATGCAGCAGTTACTTGTGTGCACAGCAGCATGAATAATGCCATTATCTTGCCCCAAACCACTCTGGCAGCAGAGATTTGTACTGGCTGTGTTAAATAAGTGCCATTTTTTTTAAGGCCTCATTCTCTTTGTGGCCTCATCCCAGTTTTTGCATTCATGTCAATGACAGCATGGGGGGAAAGCAGAACCAGTGGATGAATTAGCCCATATCCAAATTATTGCCACTGATGACATTTTTCTTCAGGTCTGATGGATCACTTAGAGAGAACTGATCCCCAGGTACTGATAGCTATTGTCTTTTCCTTATGGCTATATGGTCTAAACAACTGGGTAGCTTTCTAATGAGCCTTTTAAACCATTGCTGATGAGTAGAACTGGCAAGAGAAAAATCTGGGTAGTTGAATACATGGAATCTGAAACACACACACCACTTCATCTTCGTTTGGCCTCCTCCTTTCAAATATTTTTGTTGGTGGAATTCAGATGAAGTGTAGATGCTAGCAAGAAATTTGTGGGAAGAAACTGCTTCCTGCATTGCCCATGGGATGTGGGGCTGTGTGATGGGGATGCTGCACAGTGTCCCCAGCTGTCTCTTGGTGCTGAGAATAACAGTCTGTGCCTCTTTCAGATCCCCAGCAGGAAAGCCAGTGCATGCATTGGCAGGATGCTAACTCTGCTTGTGACTGCTGTGCTGCTTGTGTTTGATGGATTGCTCTTGGAACATCATCCCAAGGACAGCCCAGGAGCCCTGAGCTTTCTGTAGCCCACATGGGTCTTTCCTACCTGCTGCCCTTTGTGAGGCTGGTTGTTGCCATTCAAGTCGTCAACATGCCCAGGAAAACATTGGAGGAGTTTTCAAGTGACTCTGGAGCCAGCTGTTTCTGAAAACAGGACAAGAGAGAAAAAGGAGGCAGTGGAAACTGCCATGAGTAAAGATAACATGTTGCTCTGTGAGGTTGGTTTTTTTTTTTTTAAGGACTCTAGAATTCTGTCTGCAGGATACACACTGAAGGCAGCACCTCACACACAATGCTGGGTACAAATGCATCTGGTCACTGTCCCCCACCTCACTCTCCCTCCCAGTCCCCAAATACTGCTGAGAGCTTCTAAACTCTGTGAGGTACTTGAACTATTTATTTCATTAACTACTATGTCTATTTGTTGTAAAGCTGAAGTGGGGAGGCCTTGAGAGAAATTTCTGCTGGTAAAAGGCATGATCAGAGCTACTGCAAAGGACAGATGCTTTAGAGGAGAAGTGAGGGCTACTCTGGCAAAGGCAGTGTGTGAATTTCTGTAGGAAGTGGGCTCTGGTACCAGAATTCAATGAAGCACCCAAGATGTCTCTCAACATCACATATTCAGCTAATGAAATTGTTGACTGATTTTTGAGGAACCATTACCTATCATGAAGACTAAAAAGTAACTAAAAATCAGCACTAGATGAGACACTGTCCTCCAAGCCCATTCTGGTTTTTGAGGGTCCAAGAACTAACTAATTCAAACCCAGAGGTTTGGTGTGTTTTCATTTCATCTGAACAATCCAGAAAACATTTTTTCTTTCAGGAGCATTTATTCTAAATGAGAATTTCTAGTGAACAGTGAAAGCTCAGAGAGAAAATCAAGTTTGCATCAATCAGCCATGTAAAGAGCCATGCTAATCCAATCAGGCACAAACCAACACAGCAAGTGCTGTCTTACACATTCAACTGCAAAATTATTCAATCACTATCAGCTGCTTCCACTGCTAAATGGGAAACAACCCAATGTTATTTGAGGAGCAACCAAAGGAGGAAAGCACCAGGAAAAAAAAAAATAGAAAAAAAAAAGAAAAAGAAAAAGAAAAAAAAAAAGGAAAAAAAAAGTCTATGACTGGAGCAGAAATGAAGTTTCCTGGCTGTTGGTATTTTGATGAAACACAATCTCTGTCTCTCCTGGGGCTTCTGGCCAGCCAGGCTGGGATGGGTTTGTTTAAAAACCCCTTTGAGCATGCACTGGGCATGGAAGAAGTGTGTTTTACCTTGATGAATGCAGCACATGAAGGGAGCTGGACTTGCAGGGCACTCATCTAACAGAGAAGGTGAAAGGAACCACCAGAGAGGGAAGAAAGCTGGAAAAAGGTTGGCTCAGCCCAGAAGCAGCCCCCAGCTCGGGAAGACCTGACCTGCAGATATCTCCAAAACTAGCTCAGAGCAATTCAAGGGACTGTGTGGTTCATGTAACAGGCCAGATGCAGGAGGCTCTGGACAGCATTTCCTCTGCTATGTGATGGGAAAGAGCAGCTCCTCACTTGGTGCTCTCCCACCAGCTGCAGAGCCCCACACCTCCAGGGGAACAGCCCTACAACCACGGCTGCCCTGGCTGGCACAGCACAAATATTTAGCTCTGACTTGCTGTGGAGGCTGAGCTGCAATGAACCATCAGGCACAGCAATCTCTGGGAGGACCAAGCCTGGATGTCCTGCTCTGCAAGACCAGGATGAGCAAAGATGCTGAGCTCAGCTCATCCTAGGGTTTTGGAGGACTTTCAGGAGCTAGAGGACTTTGGCTGAACTGGCTAGCATGTGGGTTTTAAGAACCAGGACAGCAGTTACTGCACTAATAATAATGGTTAAAACCAGGAAGAGGACTAGAAAAAAATTATTGAAAAGAGTCCCATCAAGATTTGCCATTACTGGAAATAATGATGCTCTGACAATCTCTTACACAGTTTAAACATGTACTAAGAACATGAGTATATTGTGAAGCTGCCCTGGGGGAAAAGTGAGGCAGGCAGCTGGAGCTCACCCTGCTGCCCTGGGTACCTCTGGTGTGATCTCACTCACTTCACTGTGTGGGAACACTGAGCATGAGCATGTGGAGTGGACAAAATGGTGCCACAACCCCAAACTGCTGGATGGGTTTAAGCTGGGTTCACGTTTCTAGTCCAATTTTGTCCAAAAAGGAGCTAAGAAGGGAAGAAGAATTAAACAGAATGGGTACAAGGTTAAGAGGTGGCAAAGGAACCAAGGTTGTACCTCTGGAGCTAGAGCTCACCCCCAGAAAAGATCAGAGCTATTTCAGTAACCACAAAATAGAAAAGTTCTGCTGAATCCTGCCTAGTAACGGAGTGATAAATTAAGTACATCTGCTTCTGGTATCTCTGTGCTGCAGCTCTACAGAATTGTTTAGGTAAGGAAAGCTGGGCCCGGCCTGGGTGCAGGGTTCCCCACTCTCCAGACTCACCCCTGCAGAGGGTGCTTCCCACCCCCCTCCCACAGCATCACACCTGCAGCCTGAGCAGCATTCCATCCCAGCAGGTACCCCCCTGCCAGCCCTTCCTAACATCCTGAACCTGGCTGGAATTCCAGTCCTATGCTTTTCCCCCCCTCCATGTTTATAGACTTACACTAACTATGTATTTCTTTCACACGGTATTTGCATTACAGTGGTTTAATTCATTTTCTGTAGCCCATAATTAATATTTTCAGTAAAGCACTTTCAAAATCCCTCTTTTGGCATCCTCTGCTCTCATTGTTCCCAGCTCATGCCTGGGTTCCCCAGTGTTTTTACCATCTTATCCCCACATGGCTGGTGAGGCACATCTTTGCCAAACACACCAAGAAAACTTTGCATACCCTTGAGTTTAGGGTCTTATTTTTTTCTGTCTTTGACTGATAAAGTCTACGAGCCATTTGTTGAAGAATAAAAAGCAGTCTTTCCTACAGAGTTGTTGGGTTTTTTTCCCCCTAGAGAATGTCAATACTTGTCAAACAAATGAAAGCACAACCCGGTCCCTGCTGCAGGGAAACACAGAATCAATTTGTGGCTGTCACATCCTAACTGCTTTTGGGAAGCAGCAAAACAGGGAAAGCAAATACCAAGGTCTCTGAACTCACAAATTGTCCTCCTTCTCTCGCTGAGGTCTATTTCCAAGCTGCCAATGAGAGAATAACTTGAAAATCAGTCGCCTCATTAGCCATCCTCCTATTATTTCATTTTCCCGCCTGGCCCCTGAATACCAAGTTTTGAAACGTTTCAACCTCTCTAACCTGCCAACGGCTGAAAGGCACAAAGCAAAGTCTCTCAGGAGCTCTTTACCCTTCCTGCACTTGAGGAAACGAGAAGGTAGAAGTTGTAGCTCACCGGCAGAGGCATCATCCATCGCTGCTCAACTTTTCCATCTTGCACAGACGCGAGAAGCTCGATGGCCACTGGGTGTCAGCATCTGTGCTTGGACGCAGAGGAGGAGGAAGCAGGTGCAGCATCTCTCACGCCAAAATCCAGTTATTTAGTGCATGAAAATTAAATAGAAGAGACAATGTCTCTCTCGCTGTAACACAGACGGGGTTTGTTCTTTTTGTACTGCTAAGCAGAGAAGTGTCCCACCTCTGCTCCATCCTGCAGCACCAGGCTGACTGCTGGGGAACATCACCCCGTGCCTTGGGGAATCGTGCCCACGGCCCAGCTCTGCTGCACTGACCAGAGCAACGTCTCCCATGGCTGGTGCCAGCCCAAACCAGCCTCTGCACCTGCCCTCCCTCCCGTGCTTGTGCCCCTGAGCACCCACAGAAATACCCCATCTGCTCAAACTGGAGGCTCGGCCAGGTGGACACCAAACCTCTGCAGGTTCCTGCCTCCCTCTGGCATCAGCTCCTGCATCCCTGAGCCACCATGGGTCTCAGCACCTATCCTGGAGACTCCACAGTTCTCAGCACCCACCCACTAGAGCCTCTACAGCTCTAGGAAGTACCTAGGTCTTGAAAGGACATACAGTGGCACAGTCCCTCTTGCTTCAGCTTTCCACCAGTTGAGGCTTTGGGAGTGCAGTAATTAGTGATATTATCTCAAATCTAAAGAGCTTCGTGGGCCATGGCAGGTTTGCACACTGCCTTGTGTGGCTGGGGACATCTGAGAGCACTTTTGAGCTCTTTATGTCTATGTAGAAGCTGAATTTTCTCAGGAGGGTCTGTGGCTCTCACAGCTTCCATGCAAATAAACAGCTGATGCGTCTGCTTAACAAAATGATTTGAGGCAACATATTGTGGCTGAGCTGTCTGAGCAGCTGAAATAAGCTCTGCAAACTGTGTCAGGATCTGCTTCCCAGAACACAGAGAGAGAAAATAACTGGTTGAGATATGATGGACACTGCAAGGTTTGCACCAATACTGAGTCTTCACCTCCCGGCCATCCCAGGCCGTTTGCCTCCTCTCCTGGATCTCCAGCCCGACACACCACGGAACTGCTCTGCTCAGGAAACAAAACACCCTTCCAGCAAATGTTGAGACAACCTCAGTGTTTGAGCAGGTCTCACTGCATGGAGAGCCGAGTGCCGGAGCATCCTTAAGCAGGGGGGCACCAGGAATGGTGGCAGCCCTGCTGTGGTCCCCAACATCCCCAGCCATGTATGCACTCGTCTCTGCCAGCAAGGAGAGCCCACACAGCACCTCTGCCTCCTCCAAGGTACCCAATGATGCTGCATTGACCTACCTTTGCTGGAAGGTGTAAAAGGTCGCCCCAAGTTCCTGCAGCTGTGTCACCAAGAGGATAGTGCTTGCCTTTTATCTGATGATGTTCCAGCTCTTAACAGTTGAACTGGAAATATGTCCCAATCTTTGAGACTCTCAAATGGGTCTTGGCTGGTAGCTGCCCAGAAGTCTGTGCCCATGCTGCCGACTGACTTAGAACCACTCACA